TGATCGCGCGGCCGTTGACGCGAAATCTGTGCGATCCGCTCTCCCCTTCGCGCTTGAGTCAGTTGAACCCACCAGACTTGCTGATGTGTGGGCATGTGCTTTCGCATCGGGAGATTATGCGGATAAGCGCGCCGCGACGCGGGATCGAACCGGATCCCATAATGACCGTGCGGTGCCCCTACTGCTCGAGGGAAACCCTTCTTTTGGAGGTGCTCACCTTAACCTATTTGTGCTGAGGAAATGCAGGAAAAGAAATCGAAGTTGGTATCCTGATGTTATAAACCGATAGGTAGACCACGGGTGAGGGGAGAGCAAGTCTTTTTCTCTCTCCTTGCCTCCCCCCCCCCCCCGCCTCATGAGGAGACAAATGATTTAAAACCGTATTTCCGCTATGTGAGTTCAAAAGTTGTCTTTCGGAAATTTTTCCTACCTCAACCATTCGTAGTTTGATGCGCATTGAATATTTCTACCGTGCAGGACTTCATTTTTTCCTTTTTGCGATGTTTTTTTTCCTATTCTTAATCGGATTGCCACATAATAGTAGTAGTGATAGTTACTCCGATGTTGTGCATATTTTACCTTTTTTTCCTTTATCCACAACTTTGCCGTTATTTTCATCTTTCACTTCTCAATTTGGTTGGATAGACCTTGTGTGCGCTGACTGTTAGCTTAGTCCCGCGCTTGATTTTGTGCGAATAGGGTTCACACTATGTATTACTCGATGGTAGAAATGAGGAAAAGACTCAGCCGATTGCTTTTCAAAATGGTTACTTTGTACTTGCTTTTGCTTATCCGTAAGCTCATACAGGAAACGTGTTCAAAGAGAAGTCTGTATGTCGATTGATGGTCTTCTCTTACTTTTCTTCGGAGTGGAGGAAATAATCACGCATGTATGTCTTTTCGTACAAGGCTGTGCTTCATTCCGTTTGTCTTTTTCTCTTCCTCTCTTGTCGCTGCTCTGTCCTAAGGGGAAAAAGTGGGGACCATTTTCCTTTTTTTTTTTGTCGTGTACACAGACTGTCCACATGCAAAATTATCATTCCCATTATATAGGTTTAATCGCGATTCTTTTTTTTCATGTCGAATCCAGCCGTGGTGGTACTTCCTAGTTCGAGCACCAACGGCGTTGAGCCTTCCGGCGCGACCGCCAGCCCGATGTTGAAGGGCTGGGATATTATCGAGCGCATCACGCCTTTCGTCCATGCGGTGGGTCGCGTGGTGGACGACGGCGGGGGCGGTAGGGGTAGCGCCATTCTCCTATCCCTCCCGGAGCGAACGCCGCCATTTTTCCCGCGGGAGGAAAGGGGCGCGGGCACGTTCGCCGTGTTGCTCTCCACGTCGGAGGTTCTGCCGAACCTCCCGGGCGACCTTGCGGGGCGGTGCGTGCGCTTCATGGAGCAGCCCGTCGTCGGCACCGCGATCGCGTGGGGGTGGGAGCCCGCCGCCTTTTCGGTCGCCCTGCGCGGCGACGTCGGGATCGTGAGCTCCATGGAGGCGGGGATATCCGCCGCCGCCGCCGACGACGCCGTGGACGAGATCGGCTACACACTCACGTACTGCGAGATCGCCTCGGGGTCGGGCTCGATCGGGCGGTGGGATCCTTCCGACCCGCTGGGCGGTAGGGCTTATGGCGCCGGAATGGCGCCCCAACGGGGTTCTCACGGAGGGGAGGATCTTCGCCCAATCCAACCTTTGCCGCTCCCTTTATGTCTTTCCTCGGTCCCCCCGGTGCGGATCGGGGATACCCACCTTTTGGTAACTCACGTGGATGGGCTTGAGCGCCATTACGTGGTCCGGTCCGTCGTCGCGGTATACGAGGATTATTGCGAGTACGCACTGGATTCCGGGCGACCGCGACTGGGTGAGTTTGCCAGTGGAGGAGCCGTTTTCAACGAGCGCGGTGATTTTATCGGCTTGCAGCATCACAGGAATGAATCGATTTGCATGTTTGTAGCCTCCATCGTGCGGCACCTTTTCGATTCAGACCACCTCGGTATGTGTAGGCTTCCCATATCAGAACCACCCTTAGCCATCGAAGATTCAAGCGGGGATGGCCTCCTGGATTCGAGTCTAACTCAAACGAGATCAGCGCCCCTGACGGCGCACACTCCAAGCTACCTCGAAGTTTACGACGAATTCATGACGGGCTATGATAGCCTCTTGCACATGTTAAGTGCTTTTTGGTACGCTCCTTCGCTGACGCAAAAAGTCCTTGAGGTGATGGTGTCACCAAGCTATGAGCGCGAGCTTCGGACGGCCGTCTCATCCCGAGTTGTTGGTATTGTTCTAGGGATCATCGACGCACATCCTCACTTGGAGCCGTTGGTGAACATCGCGCTTGTAGTACTTTGCCGTCTGTGCGTCTATGATCATAATTTGCATGTGTTCATTCACGTGGGCGGCATCTCCACGGTGATGGAAGTGCTGAAGGAGTATCTCCACCAGCCTAGGGTTCTCCAATGGGGGGTCTACTGTCTTCTTCGGCTCGTTGATGAAAGAGCCTCGATAGAACACCGAGCCACTTCGGTCAATCTTATATTACAGTGCTCTTTTCTTGAGTTTTCGATGAATGCACTTCGGGAGCATGCTAGATTCGAAACCGCGCATATGCATTTAGTGTCTTGGATTTCCTTGCTGCTAGCGAACTTGATCGATATGCAGCCTCGCGTGGTGACCTGGCTAGTGCAAAAGGACTTCATAGCGTTGTGGATTGATCTATTGCGGACTTACTTGGAGGAGGATGCGGTCCTTCGTGCACTGCTGTTGGTGCTGAAAAGTGTGTTCAAGCGAGTCTCTGGTTCACCTGAACCCTTCTCAGGGATTGGGAAGAGTTATTCGTCCGCTGAGCAAGGGATCTCTAAGCACGAGTCGGAGCCCTTGTCTAATGAGGTTCCGCTGGAGGGGGCATCGGAAGGTGCTTCTCTTAGTCGAGGAGCGGATTCGTGTCCAACGAGCGCGTTTCCACTTCATGATGGGTCCACCACTACGGAGATTTTTTATACACTTGACACGTCTGACTCCTTGAGCGTGAACACATTTCTTTTATACGCGTCATTATCGAAGCAGTCGTGCCGTGATGCGCTGCTGGATATCCTTGTCTGCGTCCTTGAAAGGGAGGCGGCCGGACTGTGCAATCACGAGACGTTGAGTTCTACTGATATTGCACTGGAAATACTCAAGCATGTGCGGAGTTTAGGGCTGCTGGCACCCACGAAGAACGGCAATGCTGAGTCGCAGTCAGTGTTTGATATTGTGATGATGAGGCTTGACATAGCTTTATTACAATTACAGAAGAAGTTGCCAACAAGCGATGCTTTGCTAAAGAACATTGAGTGCGCTCACTTGAATATTACCGCTTAAATTAAATTAGAAAGGGTGAGAAGCAAGATCGGAATCGACGCCGATCCTAGGGTTAAAAAAAATTTTTTTCTATTACCTTGGAAGCTTGTTTATATTTTCACCTTCCCACTTTCTGATGTACAAAAGCAATACACTATTTACAAGGACGATTCACTTGAGCGGGAGAACTGTTTCCTACACAGGGATTATTGCGTATTATATGTCTATATATGTACATCACCTGCTTTATGATTGCAGTGTAGTAATCGTAAGCACAGAAGGATTAGTGATGATAGTGTTTCTGCCTTACTATCAGTTTTCTAGGACTATTTTTTCGATGTGACACCGATTTCCATTATGTGAAGCAAATACATTACTGACCTAGAGGAGAGTGCCAACTAGGAATGTGTACTATCGACACTACATTAAAGGGAAAAAAGGAAATAAAATGATATTATTCTATTCCATTTAATTTTTATGGATACTCTACATCTGTAATAACCCGTGTGATCTTTTGTTATCCTTATGTACAAAGGGCTATAGCTTTCACATCGGAAAGATATTTAGACTTGGAAAAAGAAACTATTATCTATCGTAGTCTTTATTTGTTTTGTTCGCGATATGAACATAAAGTTTTTTTTTCCACAGTTTTTGTGTGACTGATTTTTTGTTCTGTGGCCTTTTAATTCAGAAAATATATTGTTGAACCTTAGCGTCTACGCTTTGTGGTTTTAATTGCATACAAAGGGAGCCGATTTTTTTCATTATACAGTTTTTTCTCACTAAATTAATTTATTTAGTAGTAATACTATAAAACGTTTTTTAGATCAAAATGAACGAGATACATGCTTGTGTATCCGGCGAAGGCAGCCCATCGAATGCCGCTTTCCTTCCCGCTTGCATTGGATTTGACCACTCAAAAGTCTTCCATAGTGAGTTTTCAACCGCCAGCCCAAGATTTATAAGCAACATGAAAATTTTAAGCGAGCAGAATTCTGCGCGCTCGAGCGAGTGGCACGCCGTAGTCTACCATAGAGGATGTCGTTGCGTCCTCACCTTTTCCGAGAAGACCGACAAATTGGTGCTGTTTGAGGAGCCGAAACACTCGAATGGCAAGCGAAAGGTGCTTCTAGATATTCCCATGTGTAAGGTTTTAAACTTAGAGACATCCGATGAGCGTGCCATGCGTGAGATTCAGTGCCAGGGGCGTCGCAAAGGGAAGTCACTGCAACTCAGCTGTATGTCCAAGCGTGGACACGATTTCTTTCCACCTTGGGAAGACAAGTTCATGAACCTTAGATACTCTACGCACATGTTCCCTGGCCATGAAAACAAACACTTGCGTTCTACAGTACTTTGGTATGACGGCAGGGGACCCCGCGGTCTGGAATATCTTCAATGGCTTGTTGAGGATAGCTATCACTCGTCCAAGCACAAATCATTTTCTTCTTCCCCCCGCAATCCCCCTGGCGACACTCAAATAGTCCGAAGGGATCGTGCTGAGGGGGTTCACCGGAATGATGAACCACGCTTAACGCACTATTTTCTCTACCACGTCTGCCTGAGGGAATCGGTGGTCAAGAAAAGCATCCACATGATTGAGTTTTGCGTCCTTGAGGAGCCCCACTATTTCGACCAGGCATCGAAGTTGCAAAACGCGGTCCTCCGGCGGGTTTACGGGGCCAGGCCGAAAACCCTCGAGGTTTTCATCAGTCCCAAGTCGGGCAAGGGCAACGGCGAGAGCATCTTCCGGGATAACCTGAGGCCTATCCTGGATGTCACGCGGCACAAGACAAAGGTTACCATCACCAGGCGCGCACACGAGTGTGAGGACTTCGTCGCGGACTTGAAGAATCCCTTGGATGAGAACTACGTAGTGGTTGTCGTTGGCGGGGACGGGATGGTGCAGGAGGCTGTGAACGGACTGCATCGGAGGAAACTTGCGTTGATTGCTCAGATGCGGGCCGAATGCGAGGCTGCGGAATCGGCGACGCCGACTCTTGACATGTCTTCAGGGGTTTCTTCACTTCGAGGTGAGTGCAATGCGTGTCTGTCCGGAGCGGATGCCAGTGCCGAGGAGGGCGTAGCTTCGTGCGTTGCGTCGCCTCCTTGTGCTGCTAGAGGGAACAATGAGACACAGAAAAAGTCTTCGACATCGAGTTTGACTCCCGTGTTTGACATCTTCTTGAGCCACGGTTGGGATGCGCTGATGCCTCTTATTGCCACCGTCCCTTCCGGGAGCGCGTGTGGCTTAGCGAAAGCCCTAGATTTGATGAGTCCCACAAAGGCTGCGCTCTCATTGGTTCACCATACAACGTGCAGACTAAGTCTTCTGAATATGAAATTCAAGCGCAATGCAGACCTCTTTAACTTTCACTGGAAGAGGTGGTCAAGTAAGAAACGTATGGCAGCCATGAAGAAGTTTGCGTCCTATCGTCAAAGCTACTCTGAGGAAATAAAAGAGAGACTTCCATGGAGGAAGTCCTCGTCGACATCCCATCTATCTCCCACGACTGTGAAGGCAAAGAACTCCAGCAAGGACAACAGGAGCGTCCCAAGTGGCCATCATTCACCGAATAATATCAGCTTAGCAGAGTCTGGAGGTAAGCTAACGGTACCTACATCGTCAAACACTTCCATCACTTCATCTTCTAAGGCGAATTTCTCCTCTCTGAATGTTCAGAAGCCTTTCTTCAAAGATGGCACCTCCTTGTACACCGATCCGGTCTCGTATAGCCTTGGAGCCCCTGAATTTCAAGAACGTGTTGCTTTCATGTCATTATCGTTCGGGATACCTAATGACGTGGATCGCGGCAGTGAGCCGTTGCGTTGGATGGGAAATGCACGCTTTGCCGTTTTTGCCGCCTTTATTTTACTGTCAGGGGTGCGCAAGTATAAGGCGACTATACGCTACCTGCCCTGGATCGATGATAAGGGCCACCGTCTAGAGAACATCGACGGGGCGGGCGACCCGGAGGCGCTATCGCACTTCTTTTCTTGCACGATGCGGGATAGCTGTCCACACTGCCAGAAGTATGCTGATCCCTCCCCGAATGGTCTTGACTTGCTGGAGAGATCCCGGCTTAAGGCTTTGGATGCAAGTTACAATTTACATAAGAAAACTACGAATGGTGGCGTCTTCACAACTTGTGAGGGTGCTGGTTCGTTTCTGAAGACTGACGATGGCACTTCTGATGTCGATGTTACCTCTTCCTTCACTTCGACGAGTGCCCAGCGGCGAATGCTGATGTCTTGCAGTGATGCGGATCTCCTGAGAGAGGACCAAGTCGACTTTGACTGTGAAAGCTTGCCGTGGGTAACGGTAAGTGGTGAGTTTGTTGCGATTCTTTTATGCAATATCTGCGACCTCGCACGGGATATAGCTATGGCGCCCTTCTCACATCTTTCTGACGGCGCGATTGACATTGTTTTCTACCGAAGCAATCCCCAGAACCGGTCGAAATCGCACGTTACACGTACCGACATCTTCCATTTCTTCAATAGTTTGGGGGATGGGACGCATATTCGGCAACCGTACACAAGTTACATTAAGGCGCGTGCGGTCGAGATAAAGGTAGATTCGGGGATTAGCATGTCTGATGGTGAGATGATGCCCTTAAGTTCTGTTAGGCTAACGAAAATTAGAGACGCCATTCGTATTGTTCGGGCTGAATAGGGGCGTGTCTACAGTATATGGAATCGCATCAATTACCAGTTTCATTTTTCGCTGACTCCAGGGTTGCTGCTAGCTATTGAACAATTTTGCGGTACGTGTTTGCGATTAGACCAATAGCTGCTGTTGCTTTCTGCTTTTGCCTTCACTAATGGTATCTCTTTTTCTTTCTATTGCACTTCTTAGCCTACTGTAACGCTATGTTCATCTCAGTAGAGTCTTGTAGGCGTTGAATTTATCGCTCAATTAAAATTTCAGGTTTCTTGCCTTTTTCATTATTATTGGTAAAAATATAGCAATTTTTTTTTAAGAGCTGCACAAACTTCACTTCTTGTATGTGTATTGGTGAAATGGTTGATTTTTTGTCGAGATGCCCTGTTCCCTACCACTTTTGAAGGTATAGCATACGGTGCACATCGTGAATATGTGTGATTGCTCATCCAAAACTAGTATATTTTTACCTCTTTGGTTCTTCAATAATTGTTTATCACGACTTAATTTTTCTGTTGGTGAGTATCTTTTTTTCGTAGAAGTTTTACTAAAAATAACCTACATAAGCTTCGTGCAGATATTTTTTCCTTCTTTTTTAGGAGGTGCGGGGATCCTGGACAGGATGAAGTATGTGTATGGATAGGGTAAATAAAGCGCATTCAGAGCACCCTTCAAAATGGAATTTTTGATTTTTTTTAGAAATACACCATTTTACTTACGTTATTCGAAAAGTATCGAATGAAAATATAAACTTTTACTATGGATACTTTGAACAAATGCTAAAGACGGATAATCTCCTTATTGCGAAAGTCTGAAAATCACGCTCCCACAGATGTATGGGTGAAGCCATAAGTTGAATTAATGTAATTGCGTTTTTGGTATAGGTGCGCGTATTTTATACTTATTTGATCAACATAATCCTGATGGCATGTGAATTTGCTCAGAGTAGTGTTACACAATAATATGTTAAAGAAGCTCAAAATTGGAGTTTTTGATCGCTTTTCCCATAGTGCAGGCTCCGATTTCCTTAATTCTCTTGTTTTTACCCACATATTTTGTACATTTTGCAGTACTAGAACAACAATCTATTGTTTAATTGAACCAAAAGCGTATGAAAACGATTAGGATGATACAAACGGGTGAAAGATAGGCAAATTTTTTATGAGAAAGTACGGTGTTAAACCTAAGAGCGACACTTGGGGGAGACCTTGGGGTGCCTCTTACAATCTTAATTTGACTAGGCCCATTCTTTTACACAATATCACGAGCCGTGTTTTGCTTAATCGTGTACAAGAGAACTCGCGGAGAGTGAATCGTAGGGATGAGGGAGAATGGTCTGGTAGAGATGATATTGGCTTGTCTTGTCGAGGCCGGTACGAGCAGCCGCTTCCTGTAAGGGGTCAACCACCACAGTCACCGCATCGCAGTAGCTATCGATCACGCGTCGACTCAACGCGGATTGGCGCCTCGGATCTCCCGGAGGAGTTTGCAGAAGTCTTGATTGGTGTTTTACAACGCCTCCACGAGGATGAGGCAGTTAATACTGGCGCCAAGTTGTTTTCATTTTCAGAGCGAAGTGCTACGAAAGCTGACCTCGGGTGGCCTTCACCGGTGACGGCTGCAGAGGCAGCGTCAGATACTTTTTCCAGCATTTCTGCTGGGCCTATTGGCGGTGAGGGTCGACACCTTCCCTGCAAATTTGTGAGCACATCCCCAGATGACGGTTCTGAAGCGCTGATGCGCGCTAAAAATGCTTCTGTGGAAAGACAGACATTGATGGGAGTTGATTCCTTAAGTTTAGCATCGGACTTGGGCGATTTAGCGTATTTGATCGAGTTGGGGTGGACGGGGGCAATATCCACTGAAGACGCTCAGGATCTTCCTTCGGGGGATATGAGCCAATTACCTATGGTGAAATCCGCACCATCGTATCCCTTTCCCACGCAAAGCGTATCATCAGGCGCACTTTCCAAGGATATCCACCATACAAGCAACCCTTCCCGTGACGTTCGTTATCTTCTAACACTCGGAACTCAACCGAATTCTGGCCACCACGATCAGCCGTGTTCCGCCTTGGTTCAGGCGACAGCTCCCGCCCTTCAAGCTGCGACAGAATTGCTTCTTCGTGGACTTGATGTTAAGGCGCTACTGCGAGGTGGGACTCTCGATGGAATTCGCATTGCACATAAGTGTCTTAGTCAGGCCGATTTTTCGTTTATTCAATGGCGTCAGGTTCACGTGGAGGGGTGCGACTTGTCTCGTGGACTGTTTTACGGAGCTATTTTTGGGGAGGAGGTTAGCTTTACGCGGTGTAATTTTGAAGGAAGTATTCTCAAGGGCGTGATGATTCATGGGAATGTTCAATTTACTGACTGTAGTTTCCGGCTCGCGTCGCTTGGTCTCATTTATAAATCCCATTTGAATGAGGACACTGATTGCACCAATAAAGGGAGCTCATTGTCATCATACAGACGTTCGGGGAAGACCAGGCGGACTGATCTACGTTTTGACCGATGTGATTTCGACTTGGCTAGCTTTGAAGGTAGTATTGGACTCAATGATTCGCGTATCTTTGCTAACTGCTTTAACGAGCAAAACTCATACAAATATCCACTACACACATCAACAAGTGGTTGATAATGTAGTGGTCGAAATTGAGCGAGGCGAGGGACAACATCATCAGGAGGCTCAGAGCTTTTCTGATCGATACTAAGGGATGACATGGTGGTTGATACCTTTGTCGAGAGGGCTTAAAGCGTCGAGATACCGCTTTATTGTATTTCATTTGATGTTTGCTAATGAGGGTCTCATAAAGATTAAGGGAAAGAGGGCTGAGTTCACCTCTTACAGATACTCTTCTGATGCAGTGCACATTCTTAATTGGCAAAATTTTGCTTCTTTTTGTCTGCAAATTTTCGAGATTCTTATCAGTCTCGCCACTTCTATAGACTTTGTGGTCTTATCCTTATCTCTTGTATCTAAGAATTCTACTTATTAGTCCCTTGGAATTTTAAGGAACATTAGTATTAGTTCCGTAGGTTCTTTGTTGGACATGATGACAAAAGTGCGTGAAGACCCATGGCCGAGTGTTGAAAAGCAGGTTGAGACGATGATGGCGGATCTGGCAGTGCAGATGCAGCACTTGCACGACATGGAGAATCCGTCGATCATTGCTGAGAATGAAGTTTTAGACGCTATTGCTAACTGTAAAGAAGTTGTTGAGGACATGCGCTTCGCGTACGATAGCGCCGCAGAACACCCGGAGTCCTTTTTCATACCTGCTGATGAATTTCAACGTCGTGCCGAGTGTCTTCGTAATTGGGAGCAGGATATTGCGCGGATGCAGCGAGCAGGTGATCGTATCCGTTTAGCTCATCGCGCGCGATTGCAGAATAACGAGGCAATATTGAAAAATGCGAAGCGAGAAGGCGATGATTTTTTGCTCCAAGGGCATCAGGCACAACAAAACATTATGCAAACTGACGAACAAACATTGGAACGTCTTTCGGGTGGCATTCAGCGTGTGAAGGAAACAGCGGTGAACATCAACGAGGAGATGGCAGCACAGGAGCATGTCCTAGATAATATTGATCGTGGGATGCTCCGTGTGCAGATGCGACTTAGTAACACTATCAAGAAGGTCGGTCAACTGATTGACAAAACGAGCGATCGAGGTAAGATGATATGTATTGCGATACTATTTCTTATTTTGATTGTGCTTATCTTCTTCATTTTGAGGTAAGCAGGATGAATAGCCATGATGGAAAACGTTCTCCAGCATAGCCGTTTTAGAGCAAGAAACGTTTTCATTTTTTTTGTACTTTTTTTTTTGCGTGATGGTCGTATTTTTCTTGCCTTTTTAATTATTCAGGCTTGTGCTTCTTGTATCTAAGAATAAGGCCTACACAATTTATTTTTTTCTTACTATTGCTTTGGTATGCATTAATGCTGTTATTTCCTGCACATATATATGTGTATATATGAATATAAATATTCATGTGCGCTTTAAGGATTCCAAGCTTTATTCTTCATTTTTTCTTGCTTTTATAGTTGCACTTAAAGGAGCATCGCGAGTGCCATTCAGATAACAACGACCAATCTAAAACCTTGAACCGAAATTAGTTTTATTATATTGGTTGTAACTTTTCGTTTTCCTCGGAAAAAAATGAGACTTCACGGTGTTCAATCACGTTACGTGCTGTGCTACGTCTTGCTTTGGTTCTGTCTCACCTCGTTCGCCGTTAGTGGGTCGGATGTGGAGCAGGGCGTGACGATTTACGGTTTGCTGCAGGTCCCGGAGTCCTACTTTTCCCATCCCGACAGCCAGAGCCCGCTCAACCAAGTCCAGCCCGGTAGTGTTCTGCTCACCAGCGCCCTTCACACCTACCGTGTACCGGTCCAAAAGGGCGGCCTCTTTGTAGTGCCGTTGATGGCCTACGGCACCTACCTCCTGCAGGCTGACTTTCATGATTTCATCTTTCCCACTGTCTTGTTAGAGGTGCAGTATAAGGAACGCGATCGAACGCATGGGCAAATGAAGGGCGAGCGTGTTCCTGTGGTTCACGCCTATGCAAATGACTTCCCCGTGCGCCCGCTCGATGGCACTGGAGTGGATGATATGAACCCCATCGTTATTCCAACTGAAGGTGTTCATTCGTACTACGTTCCTCGTGAAGAGTTTCACTTTACAGAGATCTTGAAGAACCCGATGATTTTGATGATGCTGCTTTCTTTTACAATGTTTGGCCTTGTCAAGCTATTTCCAGAGGAGGACCTTAAGGAATCTCAGAAGGTTTCTAGGGAATGGCAGAATAAACTCGTTAAGAGTTCAAACAAAGCAATCAGCAATAAAACTTAGAAGTGAGGAAAATGATTTATTTATCGAGCGAAGTCTTAAGTGGAGTGGGAGATATGGGCATTCGATACATGTTAATTGTTACGATTGTGTTATTATATCTAATAAGTTGAAGAAAGGGGAAAATAATGAATTGGATAAAATTGGTCTCTCCAGTATGATTTAGTGCGCTATATTAATAATTGCATTCCCTTTGAGATCTTGATGGCATGTTGTAATATAATGCTTTCACAATTTCAACAAATGAAGTGTTTGATGCTAGACAATGATCCACGCAATGAGTCGTGTAGCCGAGGTAACAGAGGAGTAATTTTCGAAGTATTGAAAAAGTTTTGCAATGTCTACCTAAATACGATTTGTTTCACTTCCTTTATGAGCTAGATACGGCTGGTGGAGAAGTGAGAGCATTAGCAAGCTTTCTTAATAAATGTATAAAGGGTAGTACAAATGCCTTAAAATGTGATATCATAAGAATGATAGCTGTGAAGCAAATATACATATTCATATTCATATCAAATTAATATGCGATTATTTCTATAGTTTTCCAGATAGGAGGACGTTAAAGACATAGACAATAATTTAGCAATTTATAACGTTCAAAACTATGAATAGGAATTGATCTGACGATAAAGAAACAAATCGATTAAAGTGCGTCTTCATGGGATTCTTAGTTGTCTAGCATCGACACCACTGAAACACGACACAATTGCGGTGGTCAGGTGGGGAGTATGGGATGCTTTGCATGTGAAACTCTGCATTCTGGAGGGTGACATAACAAGAGTGTTGTGAATAGGGTTCAATTATGAGGCTTCTGAAGGTATCCTGAGATTACACCACATGAGCACCAACACACTAAGTGCGGCAACCGTCTCGCGATTGAACCCATGTTAACTTTTATGGTGCAGTGAATTCAAATAGATGAAGGCTCAACTTGGGTGTGAAGGATGAGAGAGAGGAAGAGGGGGGTGTAGATGGACAGACACCAGAAAATGGATTCAACTTGGAAGGAGACAAATCAGGCATGATTTCTTCTGGTCCAAATATTATGTGCTTGATACATTAGTCGTTATTAGTATTACTACCGCTGACAACGCTTGATAGTTTCTGTCTTTATCGCTCTTCACCTTTGTCAGTGATCTAAATAAACCCATTAAGGTAACTTTTTCCCATCATAGCTGTTTCTATACGTTCTTAAGACGCAGTAAGAAATATACTGTTGAATTAATCAAGTATGTCCCTAGGGGCTAAGCTAACGTTCTTTCTCATTCTGATCACTTTCCTCATCGTCAGTGTGGTCTCGATACTCCTTGGACATGCTGCTGCCGGCTTTGGCACCGATTCGAGCTCCGACATGAAGGGCATTACTGAGCTATCATCGAGTAGCTTTGCTGGGTTTGCTGGGGGGAATAAGTCCGCCTTGGTGGAGATCTATTCGTCGTCGTGTGGCGACTGTAGTCGTCTGTCTGATTCTCTCACACATATGTTAAATACTCTTGACCAAAACGCCAATGTCGGGGTGCGCTTCAGCATTGGGAAGCTTGACGCTTCAAAGTTTCCCGAGTTGGGCAAGCAATTTGGGATAACACGCTATCCGACTCTTCTTTACTTCCTACCGGGGAAAAATATCCCGTCGAAATTTGTAAATGCCGACGATATTGAGGAATATTCTAGTTTTCTCAAGCGTATAATGCATGACAGCGGTATTAACGTGCCAGATATACCAGTTCGGCCTGATCCACCAGTTCGGCCTGATCCACCAGTTCGGCCTGATCCACCAGTTCGGCCTGATCCACCAGTTCGGCCTGATCCACCAGTTCGGCCTGATCCACCAGTTCGGCCTGATCCACCAGTTCGGCCTGATCCACCAGTTCGGCCTGATCCACCAGTTCGGCCTGATCCACCAGTTCGGCCTGATCCACCAGTTCGGCCTGATCCACCAGTTCGGCCTGATACACCAGTTCAACCTAATACACCAAGAGTTGTGAGGGAGTTAGACCCGACAAGTGTCCAGGAGGTTCTTAAAACTGATCGGGAAAACTCCGTTCTGCTAACCTTTTATGCTTCCTGGTGTGGACATAGTCGTAGGCTCTTAGGTATCCTTGACCAGCTTGTTTTGAGCTACACTAGAAATCCGAATCTTCTTATCGCCAAATTAGATGTTGATAAGTGGAATCAATGGGGTTTAATGAAGAGGCTTACTAAGTCTAGCGGGGTTCCAACGATTATTTATTTACCTAAAGGAGAGGACATTATCGATGTGTACCGTGGTTTTCGTGAGTTGTCCTCACTCGAGAAATACCTTGGAAAATTTTAGCGTGCCTTTAGCTCAGCGAAGCAGCATGGCTTCCTTTAGTTTTGCTCATTTTCTTCACAAACACGAAGGAGTTCTAATGACATGTGATCGGCGATTATTTGTTGTCACATCAAACATGTGGATATAATATAGTCAACCTGTTTGTGGCAAATGTGCATATGTTATAATAGAAAATTTACCATTCATATATGTGTCAAAATGATTTTATTTTTAACCGTAATGTATTCTTTTTTATCTTAGGAAACTTGAGATATGTGACTATGTGTATCTTTAGCTTGATCTTTGAGCACTATTTTTTATTTAGATTCTTTAAAGAAATGTAAAGTGAGACAGGAAGCATAAATAATGGGGTCATTTTTTTATTTAATGATCATAGTTCTTACTTGATATGATGAATTAATTATTTTTTCATCTATATCTCTCCATTTGCTAAGATGATTACTCTAATTTTATGAATCGTATTGTGGGATCACCATTAAGTGCCCTTAGTCGTTGCGATTAGAAGAGTGAGTTTTATCCACTGGGGGTCCATTAGCGCATATACTTCGTGTCGTTTTGATGGTAAGTGCGATGACATTTTACTCCCATCTTCATCTTGTTCGCTTGTAGAAGTTTTGTGACCCCCTTTTTTTCTTACATTCAGTAGCAATATTGGAATTAGTTTCTTTCTGATACGAGAGGACTCTAGACTGTACTTGAAGCGTGAGCCAACCTCCGTTTTCTTTGCATCAGTCCACCTCACTGACCACCAGAGCGGAGGGCAGGGTGAGGGAAGTATACCCCCGAAAACAAAAAGGTGCTTGTGTAGAGAGTATGCATCAGAAAAAAGATAAATAAATTAGATCAAGCAAATTTATTCATCTATACTCTTTGCATTACTACAAGAAAATGGAGTATTTGCGCAGCTGTCTTCCAGGTGTTCGTTTCCGCCGTGCGCGACTCCATGACGCCGCACCGCTGCGGGAGTGTATGGATTCGTGGCAGCTGAGCTCGGACGGTGTTCCATCCCAACATGCTTCCTGGGATAAGCCTGAAGGTGGGTCAGACGTCTTTGTGGACCTCATTCAGGCCTCCTATTTATGCATTTCGGCGGTATCAAGCACGCAGGAGAGCCTGTTGCTGGGGTTCCTGGCGTTAGGTACAGGGCCTCGGCTCGGCGTTGCAGCTAGCATTAGCGCCGCGCAAAAATCAGCCTCTCCGGTTGAATCTTCATTCAATGTGGAGGAGAGGTTAGTGGCCGCACTTAATGAGCCTCAATGGGATGATGTTCTGCGCCGTCTAGCCTATGTAGCCGTTGACGAGGGTATGGATCAGAACAAGTCCCTTGATTCCATCCGACCCTGCAATACATTGTGGTTAAACATGCTCATGGCACCGCCTTCGACTTTTCATTCGCAGCGTTTTTCCCCTCGATCCACCAATGACACGGGGACGCTGTTGAAGCGCACGCCCCATGGCGGACTACACAAATATGGAGAGGCAACTCTTCAGAGTATCACCAAGCAAAAGCAGGAGGAGGAGTGTGGCGGCGTCTCGAAGTTCGCGTACACCTCTATGGAGCTAACTCGTGAACTCCTTGCGGTGGCTCTGAGCGCGACGCAGGGGATCGAGAACCTTTTGTGTCCGCTTCCATTGCTATCTTTGCCGTCCAAGGCGAAGGACGGCGATCTTTTCCCGCAGTTTCTTGGGATGGGCACCCTCTTGGCCCCCACTCTCAGGCACTTTCCCGGTGCCGGAGCGCTGCCATCCGTTTTTGCGCAGCGGCAGAAAATTCTCCTCTTGCCCCGACAAAGCATCCTGCCACGTTTAAACATCCGCCACGGCTGCCAAGAGGATTACGATGACTTCGTCCCCCTTCTCCTTAATGGTGTCGGCGTGCACATCCGGTTGCCTAATGAATTTTATCTCGAGGAACTTCTTAAGGATCAGGATGACACCCACAAGGTGCTTGTTGCGGAGAATCCTCAGACCTACGAAGTAGTCGGGTTCGCTTGTGCCCACGTGATTTCTCTCACCGAGCATCATGTGCTCTCGAGGTCCTATCAGATGGGGACGTACGATAAGTTGTTCGATAAAAAGGTGGGTTCAGTCTCGTTGTCTGCCAAAGGCGGGTCCGCAGCGGCGGCAGCCACGCAGATGGTACAAATAGACTTCCTGTATTGGGATCCGGACTACGAGGGGTCCTCGTTGGACTTGCTTCGTGGGCTGTTCCGCGCCTTCCCGACGTGTTCAGATGCCTTTATTGTACTTCCACATACCACGCGGGACTCGAGCCTGTTGAAGCATTTCCATTACGTTCCTATTCGTCCGTATGAGCCATATGTCAGTCGGGATGACGTCGCGCCCATGCCGGAAGGTTTATGGATTTGTTCGCGTGACAGCTTTTCAACGGCCTGTGTGGGGTTAGTGCGTTCGTTAGAGGAGGTTGCTGAGGTAGAGAATGGGCTGCTACGAACTCAGACCTACGATATAACCTATGATGAGATGGAGAGACTTTCCTCAGATTTACGCCGCTCGGTGCTTGTGGATGTGCCAAATCAGGACCAGCCGGATGGTGCATGCCTTGTTGATAGCGATTACACTTCAAAAGAGGGTTTCAATGGCTCGAGAGCCATTGTCTTCACCCTTTCACGTATCTCTTCGGAGTGGCAAACATCTACTCCTACAGAGTTGGCTGGTGTTGCTTCCCTCTGCAGGGTTACGGTGAAAGGGCTTCATGCTCTGCGTGCCAACTATAACATTGATAATTATGTTTATTTCTTCTCGCGACGCGGGCGAGACTACGCAGCCACAGATATTCACGCACCAGCGTTCCACAACTATGCCGAAAGCTTCAATCCATGTGAGGTAAAGGACATGTTTATGCCAACTATTTTGATTCGTAGCATGTACGTTAAGCCAGTCTATCGGGGTTGGATTCGCTTTTTTGTTCGAGAGCTCTTAAGACTGTGCAAGGCTGACATCGCGGTGTTGTTCCCCGTAAGAGGGCAGGGACAACTGTTTCCTCCTCTAGTTAGGGAGTTCCTCCCTTGCCAGGCTCGACGCGTGGTGGAGCAGACGATAATAGGAGACTCTACTGAGGGGGCGTCGGTGTCGGCGATTGATCCGGCAGCTCTTGGATCCCTTTTCATCGCCACACCTCGCTACTTGGGGGATGAAAAGGTTAGCTTGTATGCGCGTATCGTGGTGATTGGTGCCGGCGCGACGGCTTTGTCTTTTTTCCATCGACTTTTAAGCATTCCTTACGTGCGCTTTGTCAACCTTGTGCTTGTCTCCACTGACGGCTTTCCGCTCCACGCAAACCAGGCACGGGCTGACATCGCCGGGGCGCACGTCGACGGCCTCGGCAGTCAGCACAGGGGAGCGTGGCTGGCGGATACAATGGAGTTGCTCGAGCGCGAGCACCACTTTATTGCCGTAAGTCAGGCTATTCGCGTCGTCGCCGGGAGGCTGGTGGACATTGACAAAGCTAACCGTTGTGTGGCCATCGACAACGCCGTTTTTGAGCCCTATGACTATTTGATCTTAGCGACCGGGCGGCAGTACGTCGTGCCGCCGAGCATTCTCCAGCTGCTCCAACAGGAGGGGCGCGGCGTGCCGGAGAAGTGCATTATTCCTCTTAACGACGCCGCTGCCTTCCACCGCGCACGAGAGTCACTGGATAACCTCAGCAAGAACGTGAATGGCGTGCCGAACGTGCTGGTGTACGGCTCGTCGTTGGACGCTTATTCAGTGGTGACGGCCATCCTGCAGCGTGAAGGCTTTTCACCCCAGCGAGTGGTGGTGTGCAGCCGCGACCCCCGCACCCCGCATGTCGACGAGGCGTCGTCGCAGGCGGCGCTCACCGTGCTGCGTTCGCTCGGCACGAACGTGTTTCGTGGCTTTGACCTCGGACGCATCGAATTCAACGAGGATGGAGGGCTGACTTCGGTGGTGCTGGAGCCCGTGCCCGCGACGGAGTCCGCCCACGCTGCGGCGTCTCCCGTGGAGCTCAGCTGCGGCCTGATTTTGTGTGTGGAGGATAAGGATATCGACCCCAGAATCCTTTGTGCGCTTAATAAACGTTCCATTGTCCTTGATGGCCGTATCATTGTGGATAAGGACTACCAGACCACCGACCCGCGTATACTCGCAGCGGGCCCGGTGGCTATGTGGACTCGGCGCTACGGTGTAACCCCCAATTTTGAAGATTTTAACGCACGTGATGTTGGCTACGACTTGGCCTGCAAGGTATTAATCAAGCTCGGCTTCGCAGAATTCTCATCTGCGCACCTTTCAAAACAGGATGGCCAGGGCAATGGCAAGCCCTCCGATGACGTTACAAGCGCAGCCGCCGGCAATGGGGTACTTCCCACCTTTCAGTGCGATCCAAGCGTCGAGTCCGATACGATCGGGAGGTTTTTGAGGCGAGACGTGGAGCAAGCTGAGGGGGGGGGGGCGGCTGGCTTCCGCAGCAGGGGCAGGTGGGGCCGAATCTCTCGGTGTTTTCGACCCCGCGGGCGCGCCGCGTCGTGTTCCCGTTCGGCTTTGAGTACTTCTCAGTTGAGTGCGTCTCCTTCGCGGAGGACACGTGCGAGGTGCTGACTTGCTCAAACATCTGCAGCCTGTCCGAGATGCGGGACCGATTGTTGAGGGATCTAGATCGTTCCACATCTCTATACCCGAATGACATGGGGTCCGGCAGAGGGGGCTCTGATGTGGGCAGCGAGTGTGTCATGTTTACGGGCAGGCGCTCCGGCGGAGCTCCCGTATCGTCCTCGCAAGACGTCTTATCGATTTACATCAACCGAGCAAATCACACGATAGACGCGATACGGTATTTTGGTGATGGTCGTCCAGAGTTGTATAACTATATGGCTTTGATAGGCTACCCTGAGCTTTTGCTAAACCTGACCTTTCGGTACAAAGAGGCTGCCGAGCGCTCGCATTCTACCGGAGAAGCCAATCTGCCGCCAACATGTTGTCTCACGGCCGGTGTTCTAAATCATCAACTAGATCTTATCAACTACCTGAGACTGCCCTACTTCAGGACCATTTTTTCCGATCGTTTTGTTGCGTTCTTTGCATCATTACGGCAACGAATGCGACAGCATGAGGAATTCGTTCGCGTAGAGGAGCAAATTCTTGCGAAGCGTATGACAAAGGAGGCGTTTGAACCACTCACCAAGGATGAAGTTAATGCCCATATGAAGGCGCTGACTGACTCTAAGAAAGCATTTAGACAAGAGATCGAGTTGGCATTGGTTCGATTTCTGCACGAAAATAAGGAGTTTAGACCTAATATTACGTATTTGCCCAATATCAGGCACTTTGTGGACAAGAATGAGCCGATTGTGTCGTTAATGTAGAATTTCAACATTTTTTTTGCGTTTGATATTGCTATTGCTGATTTGTGTTGGCAAAGATATTGAACTTCCTATAGGATTTAGGGTTTCCCTTCTATCCCATTATCACTTCTCAGATGTATCAAATCATTTTGGTCTGCATTACCGATTAAATTCTTTTTTACAAGACATTTTCCCAGTTTGAATTCCTAAATGTATTTCTACAAGGAGGGTAATGATTCTTCTTCTTACCGGTACTTCGTGAGTGCACGCCTAACACTTCTTTCTTATTTTGTTTTCCACAAACGCATAGAATAAAAAAATTCAACGCAGTATTCACGAATAATTTTTTTTCAAATAACCTCTAATAAACTTTCGTATCAG